CCTGATGGGGGGTGAGATGAAAGGCGGGAAGTGGAAAACGTCGGCGCCAGCACAGCTTCCTAAACCCGCTTCTTCCCTTCGTCAAATTCCCCTCCCCTCACCCAGTCATGTGCTAAGGCGTGCCGCGCAGCAAAAGACGAACAAAACCCGCGTGCCTTTTGGGGAATGCCCTTGAACGCCAGACGAGTCTCAACTAGATGGGCTTGCAGTCGCGCGCCCAAAGCACGTGCCCTTGCGATCTGGCGCATTCGTCAGTTGCCGCAAATAATGCTTGGATGCACAGAAGGAAGAGTGAAGGGCCATGTGTGTTTGTGGTTGCGGCCATAGGAGCCCTGGGATGAGAGGCGCAGGTTGAATCGGCACGGGCGTCTTGCACTGTCGGTGGGTGGCGATGGAGGGCGGGTCGGTGACGACAATTCCGGGAAGAGGGTCTCGGTCGTTCTGATCGCAGATCAAAGCCCGACACCTAGTACGTAAGCAGTCCGCACCCAAATGCATTATCGGGACTTCCGCTGCCCAGCCTACAAGCACATGCAAGCACGCGCATAACTTCACATTCCTGACTGCTTCCTCCGAACCTGTGTGCAATTGGGGTTGACATTCAGTGCTGTGCCTTTTGTCACATGGAGTGCTGTTTCATAATGCCGCGTGCCAAGGCAGTGTTATGCCTTTTCACACATGTTGTGCCTTAACACGCCTCCCAAGTATCAGAGTTTCCGCCCAGAGTAGTTGGCTGTACAGAGTCTTCAGCCATGCTCTTTACCCTTCGTTGTGGAGTTGATCAACAGACATCTTTCATCGCCTCGCGTGGCATCACTCATTGCATTCGAACGCTGCAGATCAGCTAGAACAATAGCAACACCGCTATTCATCAATACTCCTTCCCAAACGATTGCACGGAGAGGAGGGAGCTAGATGATTGTCAGGCACCGCAGTCGTTACCATCCACGCAAGATGATTGAGAGCATTCTTTGCAGCATGCACACGACCGAGCGGGGGGGAGAGGGGGCCAGCATCAACTTCCTTGACGTTGTCCTTGCCTTATTGTCCTTGAGGAAACACACGAGGGGGCGGAGGAGAGGGGGGGAGGGAGGTGGGGAGGGATGTGTGCGGAGGGTAGGGGATGTTTAGGGGTAGGGGGAGTGGTAGTGGAGGTAGGGGGGGGAGGGAAGAGGGTATGGGGAGAGGGGAAGGTTGGGGGGAGGTAGGGGGTGGGGGGGGGGGGGGGAGAGGGGGGGTGGGGAGGGGGGGTGGGGGAGCACACATACATACAAGGATTTATGTATTTGTGGTTTTTTTTACAGCATACGTATATGCAGATATGCGCTGTATAGTGCGCGAGCTCCGGGCCCAATGTGGCACAGCTCCGCTGTATAGCCCTGGCATATATCTGAACCTAACCATCTCGAAGTATGGCCATGAATCTGCCGCTGTGAGGATGCCTGTGCTGACACTCCATGCTTTCGACGACTTGGCCTGTGAGCTGACCGCATGGAAGTCAAACACGTCACGCGGGTTAATGGCTTGCGCGAGATGTCCATGTAAAATGCATGCTTGGTTTTAAGCTGGCTTCTGTTGAACGCCTTCATGAAAAATCACCCAAAAGCGCAAGAAACCGCACGCAGACTCGACCGTGAACTCTGAAGCGACATCTACTCAGGATGGGCCCGCACCTCCGAACCGTCTGCTCCACAACATGCATGTGAAGCAGCTCCGTCAGTTCAGCAAGGACTCCCTTGAGCAAATTAGGGATGATACAAAGCAGAAGATTCTTTCGGAGTTGCATCTGAGAAGGAGCTCGCCCGCTGTCCGAGCGGGCTCCAGCAGGAAGTATCTGCGCGGCGTGAGAAGCTGCAACATTGCAACACTGCCGCCAGTTCCGGTAGCAGCAAGCAGAGTCATCTACAGCCACTGGCAAGGAGCCTGAACTGGCTTAGAAGGGTCACCGGAAGGGCGCAATGATGGTTTCACGGTAAGCAGAGTATGTTCTCTTTGAAGCTGCTTTACCCGGATTGGCTTAAGGAGCCCTCAAACCAAAAAGCAAGGTCTCACAAGAGCAGTTCTACAACTACCTGGTGTTTCCCACTTTGTGGGCTCCTTCAAGCTCATCCGAGTTTGGCCATGATACCAAGTGGAGCTTTACAAGCTTCAGGCTGGGCGCTGATCAAGAACTCGGCCCAGAGCAGTCCACCAAATGAATTCTTAAAGTTGATTATCTTGGCCATTCGGGCCTGACCAAACCGAGCCAACGCCCGCGGATGTTGGAGTTTAGGTCTTCGGTGATTTGGTATGTTCCTTTGGGAGTGAGGCGTAGGTTTCAGGGCACCAGCGCGAAAAAACTAGGCAAGTAACCTCGCAGAGCTGGTAGATCAACAGAGATACAACTGCAGGCGCTGCGTTAGGGGAGGGTGTGGAGTGCTCTGCATTTCAGGAAGGACCTTAGAGGAGTCGAGGAGTAGAAAGCTAGGAAGACACAGTACAGAAGAAGCGAAGAGAGCCTTGCAATGGCGGTGCCATGGAGTTGTAGACCCTGCAGGTACAAAGTACAGGCCTTGACTGCAAGAGCAAGAAGCCCACTACGCAACTGATGCCCGCAAGAGGTCAACAAAGCGACCTGAATTCCAAACCTAGGCTACTACACCACCCCCCCCCCCCCTCAATGCGGGCTTCGGCGTTTGAGATTCGGCTTGGTACAATGGTACAATATCAGAACAAATCCAGCTTCTTGAGGCTGCTGCACACGTTGGGGCCTTGGGGTTGCCGATCGATGGCTTGTGGGAATATGAAGGTTTGTGGGGTTTGGGGTTAGGCTTTTGGTTTGGTGATACCGACATGCTCACATGTCGGACTGAAAGGCATTTGATGTTTCACATGGCCACACTGTGAGGAGTACTTGTTCTGTGCAGTGGGCAGAAGAAGCGGTGCATCGGGGGATGCTGGTGGAAGTTCTTGATTGACTCTATAGGCCCTATGTAGGCCCTATAGGTCTTCGGTAGACTTGATAGGCTCTAAGTCATGCCGCGGTTGCTGCAGGAGTTGTGGCGAAAAGGGAAACCCCAAGGCTGCATGGCAGGGCAGAAGCCGAGAGAATAAGTTGAAGCTGCTTGCTTGCGGGCTTGCGCTTCACGGGCTTCGTTTCTCATTTTGACCGCATGACTGGTTTTCTTGGCCTACCAGCACTTGACTTGATGTGCTGCGGGCCCAACAGCATGGACAAATATCTGCTAGGGCGGGCGCCACCTGTACAGCAGCAGTTTGCAGCCGGCCACAGACCGGGCTCATCCTTCACCCTTGCACTTTATGCCCACCCTCAGAAATGTTGCACCCCGCTCCCTGCCATCCCGACGTGGGCCAGTTGGCAAACATAAGCAGGGTGGAGCATCCCGGGCGAATGATTGCATCTCCGTTCTAGCAGCACGTGCTTGTGTAACAGAGCATGTGGACCTGTCGCCTTAACCCCAGTATCGCCCGGAAAAGAAACAGTCAACTACTCTACGATCGCCGAGGGCTTTTGATCAAGCAGGAAAGAAACTCGACAGCACAATAACAGTAGTCTTCTAGGGAGAGGGCGACTCAGTGCCCCCAACCTGGGGTAGACTGGAATTCTGGTGCAGCTTGACCTTCAGCACGGAAACTCCTAGCCAGGTCAGCCCCTCGGCGCTCGGTCACGAAGCCAACCGAGCGCCCAATACGGTTTAAATGGGCTGAAACCCAAAGCCTTTAAAGCTACGGCATGCTACGGCCGAAAGCATTGTCGAATGTGTCTTTGAGGGCATCTCAGGGTCAGGGTAGCAGGGGAAGCCTAAGGACCTAAGGACGAGCAGCATACCATCCTGCCCAGACACCCTTCTAGGGTCCCGGCCCAGGGGTTCGCTTCAAGAAGCGCGAAACCCCATGGCAGGCATGATCCGTTAAAGCAGGCTCCCGCTCGTGAGTTGGCCTTGCTTGCTGGCGGGCTTGCTTCATGGGTTTACTTTCGATGGCAACCATGGCTGGTTTTCCTTGCCTACAGCACTTGACTTACTTGACGTGCTGCGGGCCGAACAGCATGGACCATACGTTTTCCAGGCCGGCGGCGCTACCTAAACAGTAGCAGTTTGCAGCCGGCCACAGACCAGCTCATCCTCCACCCTTTCACAGTTTTATGCCCATCCCACCCCTTGTTGAATACGGGCACCCAAGAAATCTTGCACCCCGCTCTGCCGTGCCCACCGTTGGCGAACATGAGCAGGGTGGAGCATCACCTGGTCGAAGGAGCGCGCTTCAGTTTGCAGCAGCACACGCTTCTGCCAGGACAGTAGACCCACAGAGCAAGCACGTGAACGTTTGAATAGAGAAGATGCCTGGCTGTTCTCATGCATCTGCATCTCCGTCTCGACGGAGTTTTGTCACGCCCGCAGAGACGATGCTTGCGTTTGTGGGTCTTGCTATTGGTGTCAGCGTGCTTCGAATCTTGAGTGGATCTTCAGTGGCAACACACAGCGGATCAAACCCGTTAGGCCTCTTGGGCCTGCAGCGCTTCGGCTTCCGCGGAAGAGAGAGAAAATTTCGACGCAGAGACATGCAGAGGGAGTTTGTGTCGTCCAATGGCAGCGCCTCTGCTCGGTGGCCTCCCAAAAGCTTCGATTTGCAACACATTTAAAAATGCCCATGTTGCCAGCTGGTTGTACCTGTGCGGCTGGCTTCGAAAAGTTGAGATCCAAAAGCCAGTCTCCTGTGTCCCGCTCCTCCACGGCGCTCCCCACGCCATCGAAGGTTTCCCGGCCGAAGCTCCTCTTTTCAGTACCCCCTCTCCTCAATGCTTCCAAGCGTTCCTCAAAACAGTGAGGCCGCTTGCAATTGTCACTTGGGATCAGAACGGGCCTGAGCACCTTGTGCGGATGTTGAGTAGGTATGGGTGCAAAACATCACGGGGACTCAGAATGTTGGCCTATTCCCCCAAATCTTGAAAGTGCTGCGCACGTCAATGCCCCTTGGCGTCAGCTGGAGGTGCATGAGGAATGTCCTCGTTTGATGGCTTGTCGCGAGAAGAGCTGATGCAGAAGGCTGGACCACTTTTTGCATTGCAAA